GGACGGAGACATCACTGCCCTATATTCACAAAGTTGCTGTGCTAATGCAGTCAGTGGATTCATATATTATACAGTTTAGCTCAAAACACGTGTTGTAAATATGCTCTTACATGGATTATTGGTATGATTTAGTTTATTACAAGTGTACAGGAAGCGACCTAGCGTATACACGTTTTCGATAGATGGTCGAAGTCCGGATAACCGGGGACTTGATTTGGCGTGAACACACTTCGTCAATAGTGGCAGCTTCTGGAAAAGCTAGGGTTATTTGTATAGGGCTAACGGTCGGTTTATAAACTCTGACATTGCCGTGCTGCTAGCGTACAGTTACCGTAATGCTGCTGCTGGCAATAGCCTAACCCAAAATTGTATCTTTTTTCACATATTTGAATACCAAGCTTCTCCGCAGATCATTCTGGTTAACAGGTAACAAAAGGTACTATAAACAACTATAGTTTATCTTGTTAATCTTTCTTCTGCGTCAATGTCAAACAGAGCGAGAGCCTTGCGGAAAAATCTACTGATCGGTGGCAACAAACTCGTGATTGGCAGAAAGTTAAAACGTCGTCAAGCCAAGCCTCAGCGTTGCGGACGAACGTCGCGGCGTTCCTGTCCATAAACAATTTGATGTCAACCGCATGATTCAAGTTCTGGATTACGGCAACCTTGCAGCAGTGGTACGAAGTTTATAAATCGATATTGCCTCAATTACTGCTCACATGTTTGGGATGCTGCCGTTCCGACTACATCATCTATGCTCGATGCTGTTCAGTGGATATAGTGAAAATGATTCCTGCGATGCTTTCTTCGCTACCTCGATAATCACTTCCTCGATCTGACCGTGATGTAATACAAACACATGTTTTAAGTTGGGAGCGTTCATGGCGACGATGCATTCTGCGCCGCTACCTTCGCTTCCTCGCCGAACAAATATTTTGTTTTTACCTCGCTGTCAGGAGGGAAACATCGGAGTGGACTTAGCTGTGATTGGTTCTTTCAAGGTCGTGGTCGTTCCTCAGCAAGAATTGGATTACTGCGCAAGTTGGTGTACTTGCGGTCGTCCAGTAGAGGCTCAACTTTGTTGAGTATGTAACCAAATGTATCTGTCGACATTCTCATGTAAGAGAGGAGTCTTTTCTTGACCCTCTTCAATTCGAGAAAAAGATGCTGGTACTCTACAAGTTGCTGTCTCGCTTTGTTTATTGGACGTGTACTGCATTTTCGATATGGCAGAAAACTAAACATCTACCACCTGGTTACTAGAGACAAATCACTATCACAGTCACTATCGCTCGACAACATCCTGCCTTATTATTCACTCGTGAACAAATGAAACATTGCGAACCACTTTCGAGGAGAGAAGAGAAAACATCGAGAGTGAATTCAGCATGAACATCCATGTACAGTGACAGTGAGAGTGATTTGTCTCTAGTTCTCTAGTAACCAAGTAGTCGATGATTAGTTCTCTACCAAATCGAAAATACAGTACACATCCAGTAAACAAATCGAGACAAGAACTTGGAGTATGTCTACAGATACATTTGGTTACATACTCGACAAACTTGAGCCTCTACTGGACGCCCGCAAGTAAGACCCTCGGTAAGGCCATGCGTTGTGCGTGACCTACGGTCTGCTACAACGTCTCATGTGTTTCAGTCTCTGGGAACGCCGAATTGGTTCCCTTTACCTCGCACATTCTATCGATGTCGTTAAGCGATCATCGATAGAGGGTCTGCTAGGTTCTCTTGAAACTCTTGTTTTCGAAAAATCAAGAGTTTCAAGTCCTCTTACCTATATATTGTTCCTGGTCCTGGTCCTGATGGGTCCTGGTCCTGGTTGGTCCTGGTCCTGGTGGGGTCCTGGACTCGGTAGGTCCTGGTCCCGGTGGGTCCTGGTCCCGGCGGTTCCTGGTCCTCTGCATCCACGCCGTGGAGGGGGAAGAGGAGAGCAACCGCGGGTACTCCTAGTCAAGGTTCCAGTTAGCGTCTGCCAACTGTGACTTGGGTCTAGGGTACTTCGCTCTGCGGTTGCGAGGCCTCTCGTCCGGAGCGTAGTCCATGAGGAGTCGTAGTTGCTCATACGGGTGGTCCTGAGCTTTCTGGAAGGTATTCTCTGCTTTTTTCCTCGTGTACTCGTGGATGGTGTCCCAGTGCAGGTCTCTACGCAAGGTTGAGTTTCATACGTAGGCTGGTGCACCGGTGGCGATCCGGAGTAGCTTCATCTCTTGAGCAGCAAGTCGCTTGCGGTAGCTGGGAGCAGCGTACCCCCAGACCGCGGAAGCATAAGCGAGCTGAGGTCTGGCGATGGCCTTGATCAGCCGTAACTTGGTCGCTAGCGGCATCCGGCTGTGTCTACCCAGTAATGGGTAGAGTTCGGCCATGGCTGCTCTGGTCTTTGCGATGACAGCTTCTATGTGGGGTTTCCAGGTGAGGGACATGTCAAATACGATTCTCAGGTATTTGACTTTGTCACTCCACTGGATATCTTCATCGGAGATGGATGCTTCGGGAGGTCTTGCGATCCTTCTTCGTTGGATGAAGATTGCCTGCGTCTTTTGGACGTTGATGCGGATTTTCCATTTCAGTCCTGGATGAGGTCCAGTTCATCCTGTAGTCTCCTACGGACGATCTCGGGTCGTCGATGCTTGGCGGCTATAGCAGTGTCATCTGCATATAGCGCCAGCATTATGTCTGCTGTCTTCGGTACGTCATGCGTGTAGATGTTGTACAGCAGGGGGGCTAGGGCTGACCCCTGGGGCACGCCTGCTTCCAGCTATCTTCTGGTTGAGTCTCATGTACCAATCTTCACCGTGAACCATCTTTGTGTTAGATAGCTCTGGATCGGTTGGCACATGTTCTCGTCGGTTCCGGCAGCTTCCATTCTGGAGATGAGTCCATCATGCCAAACTCGGTCGAAGGCTCGTTCCACATCCAGCAGGATGAGGCCGGTTGCCTCGTGGAGATTGAAGCCACTGGTGATGTGTTCTGTCAGTCTTAGCGCTTGGAGTTCCGTGTTGTGGAAGGATCTGAAGCCGAATTGCTCTGAGGGGAGAAGTTCTAGGTCTTCTGCCTGCGTCCTTAGTCGAACGGCTATGGCCTTTTCGACAACTTTGCCCATCGAGGAAACCAGGCTGATGGGCCGGTAGTTCTGAGGAAACTTCCGGTCCTTGCCTGGCTTGGTGAGCATTATAACCTGGGCTTCCCGCCACCGCCGCGGGAAGTGGTTAAGTCTCAGAGTGGCAATGGCGATGTTCCTCAGCATCCTGTTGTTGATGCCGTCCTTTCTCGGTGCTTTTCTGACCTTCAACCTGCGGATTATCAGACGGATTTCTTCTGGACTGGACGGGTGGTCTGTCTTCTGGCCAGGTGGTCCACTCCTCATGGTTTCGGCTGCGACTTCCACGGCCTCCTCGTGGTTGTCGTCCTCATCTTCATGGTAATTGAGTCTGCATTCGGATTCTAGCGAATCGGCGAATGCTTCGGCTTTTTCTTCACTGGAATAGGCCAAGCCGCGTTGGCCGTGAAGTGTGGGGATCTTGATGCGCTGACGACGAAATTTTCGCTGCATAGTCCAGGTCGCACCATCCTGGGTCTCTAGTTCTACGCAGGCTGCATTCCATCTGTTGTTTCGGAGTTCAGCTGTTGTCAACAGCTGGAGATGTTCTCGCTTGAGTCTTCTGTTCTCCCTGATCAGGTGCCTAATATGGTGCGGTGCTGGACCATTTAGGTGTCTTGGAACTGCCGTAGCCTCGGAGTGGGTGCTGTCCTCGTGCGCTCGCAGGACAGCATTCTCCAGCTCCTCTACAGCGTTGTCCAGCTCCTCTGCTGATCGGATGGTTGGAATTTGGATGATATTCCTTTGGACGTTGGATTTGTAGTGGTTCCAGTTCGTCCGTTTGGTGGTCAAGCTATCTTGAGTTGCAGACCCTGTGCCCAGCGTTAGTAGGATCGGGTTGTGGTCCGACGATCCTTCCTCCAGGGTCTCTATCTCGAACTCCTCTCTGATGTTGCGAAGGATGGCTATGTCCAGTACCGCAGGTCGCCCATTGCCGAATGCAATGTAGGTTGGCTGCTCCGGACCGACGATGACCCCCGCCAGGGCATCGACGTGTTCTTGGAGCTGCCTTGCATACCTGTCTTCGACGTTATTGTTCCATGCCGGACACTTGCAGTTTAGATCTCCGATGAATATGCGTGCTCCTGGGCCTCTCAGGAGGTCAGCGATGTCATCTTCGTCAAGGGCCTCCCCTGGTGGCACATATAGGGAGGTGATTCTGTAGGGACGGTGGTTATGATGGACCTGGACCGTGATTCCGTCCCCATTCATGTCTGCAGCGTCGTCGAGGACATGACTCGTCATGGTACGTTTGACGAGTAGTGCGACTCCTCCACATCTGCCTCTTCTGTCGTAGCGGTACGTCTCGTACCGCGGGGACGCCAGTCTATTTGGCGGCATTCAATTTGGTTTCTTGGATCGCCTTCACCTCTGGTTTGTACTGGTCTAGTATATCCTGGATTTCTGGTTTCCGTGCCCTGAATCCGTTGATGTTCCAGGAGATTATGCGTAGAGGTTCTACGTTTTGGCTAGTAGTCATTGCTGGTCTAATGCTTATTTTCCATCTTGGCCTCGAGTGCATCCAGGCGGGTCATGATGGCTTGCATCATAGCGAGCAGTCTGTCATCGCCGTGTTGCTTCTGCGCAGTAGTTCCAGTAGCAGTGGCGGCTGCTGGGGCAGAAGTGGACTTTGGTTTCTTCGGCTTTTCAGCATAAGACGTCCTATTTGTGGTAGAGGCTGCTTTGGGGGCGGCAGCAGCTTTCTTCGGGGCCTTACTACATCCTTTGTAGTTGGCGGGGTGGCCTTCTCCACAAAGGCAGCACTTGGCATTTCGTTGCCCTGTTGGCGGCGCTGGCAGACCGCAGCTGGTGCTGCTGTGGTCCTTTCCACACTTCACGCACCGTTCAGCGACACGGCAGTTCCGCTGTGTGTGCCCGTACCTCTGTCAGCGGTAGCATTGGCTGGGCTCGGTAGATTTCTTCTTTCTCTCGAAGCTGACCGTGAGCATGGCCAGCTTCTGGATCTCTAGAAGCTTTTCTGGCATCTTCGTCTTGACGAGAAAGAGCGGAAGTGGCTTCTTTGTGGTCCTGGAGGTCATCTGTTGAACCTCGGTGTCTGACACACCCTGGTTCACTAGATCTTTTTTGATGTCCTCAGTCGACATCTTCCTGGGCAGTCCTCGTACTACCCTCTGGTTCATCTTGTCCTCCTTCAACTGGTACGTGAAGAAGGGCCGCTTCATAGAGTCCAGCAGTGCGACTAGTTGACGGTAGTCAGCTGGTGTGTTTGTGGACACCTTCACACTGTTACCCGCCGTCCTCGCCTTGGAGAATTGGATCCCCTTATTGTTGATATCCTGCTTAAGGATGACCAGTCAGCGGTGCCCTCGATGCTGATGGGGGGAACTCCTGTTCCCGACATGGGGGGCACGATAGTCCTGGCTGCTCTAGGACTCTTCTTGGTGGCAGCTGGCATCTTTGGCTGCCTTGGGGACTCGTCTTCGGAGGAGGAAACTCGCACTCGCTTCCTCCGTCTGGTGGCGACACTGAATCGGTGTCGTCTTTGTTTGCTGTCCTGGTCCTATCCTCTTCGGTCTGTTGGGTGTCCTCTTCTTGCGCGTCCATCTCCTTGTCAGACGTAGCCTGGTGGTCCTCGCCCGCGTCTTCTTCGGTCTTCTTTGCGGCCTTCTTCTTGGCCCTGCGGAGCTTCCCGTTGATGTCCTCAATCTCCTGTTGTGCCTGCAAGAAGGCTTCTTGCAGGTTCCTCATCTGCTCTGCCAGCATGGCGAAATCATCCTTCTTCTCCTTCAGCTAGTTAGCCAGCTTCTCAATTTTCGCCATCGTAGATGGCAAACAACCAATCTATCGCAATGAAAGTGACCATAGAGGTAGCGAAGAAAGCATCGCAGTAAGCATTTTCACTATGAACATACCCTTAGACAAGGGGAGAGGCGAGGCTCTCGGGAATGTAGTGCGCGTGGAATTTCTGAGCATGTATAGACATACATCTGCTGCAACATAGTAATACTAAATAATACTTGGATACATCACACTCTGTCAGGTCGAGACCACATCAATGACAAAAATGCAACATTCATATACAGGTGGATCAGGCCGCGCGGCCTTATTTTATTGCCATCAAGATCGTTGGACCAATGTCCACTAAATTCTTTTACTCAGGATTGCTTTACAGAATTTGTATATCAAGTATATGAAGCTATGCTGACCACAGTAACAGAATTGAGTTCCAAAAATTGAAGCGTCCTCGAGCATGCTATGACACAATGTAGGTCATGAGTAACAGTCATCGATACCTTAAATGTAAATTTTCATTTAACATCAAGCTTATCCATTTCTTTATACAAGCTACACACTCCAATAAAATGAAAAAAAACAGCAGAGGGCGGATGACAGTAATACCATTTTAAAATTGCCAATAGTTGGTCAACTAATTGACACAGTGATCGTACTTGATCCTATCACTCTACCGGGTCTCAATGCCAGGCGTGGGATTTTAATAAACATTTAAACTTTGGCATGACTTTTCTGTGTTTTTTTTTACCATCTCAAAGAAAAATAATACTGGACGAGATAAAATGCTTACTTCTGAGTGTTTTAAAATAAACCTGGCTGTAATAAGTTGATATTTGGAGAAATGGCATGGAATTAATTGAATATCAGCCAGCTTTAAAAAAAATAATGCTGGGAATCTCGAAAACTACAAGACTTTTAGTAAAACAAAGTTTTACCATCTAGTAGGTCATGACGTGACCTCCTACAGTTGCAGGATTATTCTTTAATTTTGGGACACACTATATATAAAACGGCATACCCCAGTGATGGTCATCTTAGGCACCGCTAAGAAATCTGATTGATAAAATTGAGAGTGACGCACCCGGTATCGTTTAACATGCTTATCATCGATCTCAACAACAAACAAACTTTGAGGTACCTGCAGACGGTTGGTTGCCAGATTATGTTAACTGAATAAAACGTTAATTTGATCTCCGACATAGTTCTGCCATGTTGGCACTGAGGACTTAGGAAGTGATCCCTTGGAGAAAGGCAAATTTTCACTAATCCCTTTTGTGAATTCCATAAATTTAGTTACTGTCAAGGTGAAACTACACTAAAGCCAATTGTTTGTCGACATCAGCGTACGCTCAGGAGGGTTCCGAAGGTCGACCCGATTTCCACAGAGATGAAAATGCAGGGTTTCCAGAAACTGGAGGCTACTCCTTCAGCTGACATTAGGCCACGTCACGCCAGGTGTAGTAAAGTTTTTTTTTGTAAACGTCATATAGTTTTTGAGATTTTCAGCATTTATCTTTTTTGTTTGTTGTAAATCTTTACATCGGTTAATCTGATGCCACTTCTACAAAAACAACCTTTGTAGACTAAGTTTGTTTAAGAACACACACAATCAAGTACTTCTTCCCACTCGGTATTATTTTTCCTTTAGATGGCAACAAAACTCCCATAAAAGTCATACCAGAGTCTAAATGTTAATGAAAACCTTTTTTATGTCTGACTTTGACACCTTGCAGCGTGAGAGAATGAAGTATTATTACTGTGCCAATTAATAGAAAAAGTTGGTTGGTTATTGGCAGTTTTCAAATGGTATTACTGTCATTCCCATCCTTCTATTATTTTATTTTAGTTGCAGCTATGATGCAGGATATACACAATTTCCAATGATACTAGGATCTTCACGAAAAGTTTTTAATTAACACCATTTTTTTTTTTTTTTTTTTTTTTAACGAGGGGGGAATGCATTTACGCACCATACCATAGCACGAGCTACGACGTGTGTGGGGCTCCAGGGTCTTGAAGAGATCACCTAATACCCACTAAACCCTAAACCTCCGCGTGGCCCGACTCATCAGCGTCTCGGTAGGCCATGTGTTGTGCGTGACCTGCGGTCTGCTACAACGTCTCCTCATGTGTTTCAGTCTCTGGGAACGCCGGGTTGGTTCCCTTTACCTCGCACATTCTATCGATGTCGTTAAGCGATCATCGATAGAGGGTCTGCTAGTTTCTCTTGAAACTCTTGTTTTCGAAAAAATCAAGAGTTTCAAGTCATCTTACCAATATGTTGTTCCTGGTCCTGGTCCTGAAGGGTCCTGGTCCTGGTGGGTCCTGGTCGTGGCGGGTCCTGGTCCTGGTTGGTCCTGGTCCCGGTGGGTCCTGGTCCCGGTGGTTCCTGGTCCTCTGCATCCACGCCGTGGGGGGGGGGGAGCAGCCGCAAATTCTCCTAGTCTCCTAGTCAAGGTTCCAGTTAGCGGGTGCCAACTGGGACCTTGGTCTGGGGTACCTGGTTCTGCGGTTGCGAGGCCTCTCGTCCGGATCGTAGTCCATGAGGAATCGTAGCTGCTCGTTCGGGTGGTCCTGAGCTTTCTCGAAGGTCTTCTCCGCTTTTTTCCTCATGTACTCGTGGATGGTATCCCAATGCAGGTCTCTACGCAAGGTTGAGTTCCTTACGTAGGAAGGTGCATTGGTGGCGATCCGGAGTAGCTTCATCTCTAGAGCAGCAAGTCGCTTGCGGTAGCTGGGGGCAGCGTACCCCCAGACCGCGGAGGCGTAAGCGAGCTGAGGTCTGGCGATGGCCTTGATCAGCCGTAGCTTGGTCGCTAGCGGCATCTGGCTGTGTCTACCCAGTAATGGATAGAGTTGAGCCATGGCTGCTCTGGTTTTTGCGATGACAGCTTCTATGTGCGCTTTCCAGGTGAGGGACTTGTCAAAAACGATCCCCAGATATTTGACATTGTCGCTCCACTGGATATCTTCATCGAAGATGGATGCTTCGAGAGGTCTTGCAATCCTTCTTCGTTGAATGAAGATTGCCTGCGTCTTCTGGACGTTGATGCGGATTTTCCATTTCACGCACCAGTCCTGAATTTGGTCCAGTTCACCCTGTAGTCTCCTACGGATGATCTCGGGTCGTCTATGCTTGGCGGCTATAGCAGTGTCGTCTGCATATAGGGCCAGCATTGTGTCAGCTGTCTTCGGCACATCGTAAGTATAGATGTTGTAGAGCAGGGGGGCTAAGGCTGACCCCTGGGGCACGCCTGCTTCCAGCTGACGTCTTGTTGAATGGCATGTACCAATCTTCACCGTGAACCATCTTTGTGTTAGATAGCTCTGGATCAGTTGGCACATGTTCGCATCGATTCCGGCGGCTTCCATTTTGGCGATGAGTCCATCGTGCCAAACTCGGTCGAAGGCTCGTTCCACGTCCAGCAGGACGAGACCGGTTGCCTCCTGGAGATTGAAGCCGCTGGTGATGTTTTCCGTCAGTCGTAGCGCTTGGAGTTCCGTGTTGTGGGAGGATCTGAAGCCGAATTGCTCTGGGGGGAGAAGTTGCAGTTCTTCTGCCTGCTTCTCTAGTCGAACGGCGATAGCCTTTTCGACTACTTTGCCCACCGAGGAAACCAGGCTGATGGGCCGGTAGTTCTGGGGCAACTTCCGGTCCTTGCCTGGCTTGGTGAGCATTATAACCTGGGCTTCCCGCCACCGCCGCGGGAAGTGGTTAAGTCTCAGAGTGGCATTGGCGATGTTGGTGAGCGCAGCAATGCCTTTGGTGGGAAGGTTCTTCAGCATCCTATTGTTGATGCCGTCCCTTCCCGGCGCCTTTCTGACCTTCAACCTGCGGATGATCAGACGGATTTCCTCTGGACTGGAGGGGTGATCCGTCTCCTGGCCAGGTGGTCGACTCCTCATGTTTTCGGCTGCGACTTCCACGGCCTCCTCGTGGTTGTCGTCCTCGTCTTCATGGTAATTGAGTCTGCATTCGGATTCTAGCGAATCGGCGAATGCTTCGGCTTTTTCTTCACTGGAGTAGGCCAAGCCGCGTTGGCCGTGAAGAGTGGGGATCGTGGTGCGCTGACGACGAAATTTTCGCTGCATAGACCAGGCCGTACCATCCTGGGTCTCTAGTTCTGCACAGGCTGCATTCCATCTGTTGTTTTGGAGTTCCGCGAGTGCGTTCTTCAGAGCTAACGATGCTCTGTTTCGCGCAACTCTCGACTCCTCTGTCAACAGCTGGAGATGTTCTCGCTTGAGTCTTCTGTTCTCCCTGATCAGGTGCCTAATATGGTGCGGTGCTGGACCATTTAGGTATCTAGGAACTGCCGTAGTCTCGGAGCGGGTGCTGTCCTCGTGCGCTCGCAGGACAGCATTCTCCAGCTCCTCTACTGCGTTGTCCAGTTCCTCCGCTGATCGGATGGTTGGAATTTGAGTGATGTTCCTCTGGACGTTGGATTTGTAAAGGTTCCAGTTCGTCCGTTTGGTGCTCAAGCTATCTCGAGTTCTAGTCCCTGTACCAAGTGTTAGTAGAATCGGATTGTGGTCCGACGATCCTTCCACCAGGGTCTCTATCTCGAACTCCTCTCTGATGTTGCGGAGGATGGCTATGTCCAGTACCGCAGGTCGCCCAAGGCCGAATGGAATGTAGGTTGGTTGCTCCGGACCGACGATGACCCCCGCCAGGGCATCGACGTGTTCCTGGAGCTGCCTTGCATTCCTGTCTTCGACGTTGTTGTTCCAAGCCGGAGACTTGCAGTTTAGATCTCCGATGACTATGCGTGCTCCTGGGCCTCTCAGGAGGTCAGCGATGTCATCTTCGTCTAGGGCCTCCCCTGGTGGCACATATAGGGAGGTGATTCTGTAGGGACGGTGGTTGTGATGGACCTGGACCGTGATTCCGTCCCCATTTATGTCTGCGGCATCGTCGAGGACATGACTCGTCAAGGTACGTTTGACGAGTAATGCGACTCCTCCACCTCTGCCCCTTCTGTCGTAGCGGTACGTCTCGTACCGCGGGAACGTCAGACTATGGGCAGCATCCAACTTCGTTTCTTGGATGGCCATCACCTCTGGTTGGTACTGGTCTAGTATCTCCTGGATTTCTGGTTTCCGTGCCCTGAAACCGTTGATGTTCCAGGAGATAATGCGTAGAGATTCTACGTTTTGACCTGTAGACATTTCGGGTCTAGTGCTTGTCTTGCATCTTGGCCTCGAGTGCATCCAGGCGGGTTATGATGGCTTGCATCATGGCTAGCAGTCTGTCATCGCCGTGTTGCTTCTGCGCAGTAGTTCCAGTAGCAGTGGCGGTTGCTGGGGCAGAAGTGGACATAGGCTTCTTCACTTTTTGGGCGTAAGAAGTCCTATTTGTGGTGGGGACTGCTTTGGGGGCAGAAGCGGCTTTCTTCGGCGCCTTACTACATCCCTTGTAGTTGGCGGGGTGGCCTTCTCCACAGAGGCAACACTTGGCGTTTCGTTGCCCTGTTGGCGGCGCTGGCAGACTGCAGCTGGTGCTGTTGTGGTCCTCTCCACACTTAACGCACCGTTCAGCGAGACGGCAGTTCCGCTGTGTGTGCCCGTACCGCTGGCAGCGGTAGCACTGGCTGGGCTCGGAAGACTTTTTCTTCCTCTCGAAGCTGACCGTGAGCATGGCCAGCCTCTGGATCTCTGCAAGCTTTTCCGGCATCTTCGTCTTGACGAGGAAGAGCGGAAGTGGCTTCTTTGTGGTCCTTGAGGTCAGCTGCTGAACCACGGCGTCTGCGATGCCTTGGCTCACCAGATCCTCTTTGATGTCATTGACTGACATCTCTCTCGGAAGCCCACGAATGACCCTCTGGTCCATCCTGTCCTCCTTCAGTTGATATGTGAAGAAGGGCCGCTTGATGGATTCAAGCAGTGCGACTAGCTGACGGTAGTCAGCTGGTGTATTTGTGAATACCTTCACACTGGTACCCGCCGTCCTCGCTTTGGAGAATTGAATCCCCTTGCTGTTCATCATCCTACTCAAGGATGACCAATCAGCGGTGCCCTCGATGTTGATTGGCGGAACTCCTGTTCCTGCCATGGGGGCCTCGGTGGTCCTGGTTGCTCTAGGACCACTCTTCTTTGTGGCAGCTGGCATCTTTCGCTGCCTGGGTTCTTCATCTTCTTCTTCGGAGGAAACTCGCACCCGCTTCCTCCGTCTGGTGGCGACACTGAAGTCGGTGTCGTCCGTCCTCTTCTCGGCTTCTTCTTCTTTCGGTCCTTCGGTCTGTTGAGTGCCCTCTTCTTGGGCGTCCATCTCGTCCGATGTCGCCTGGTGGTCCTCTTCCTCCTCTTCTCCTGTCTTCTTTGCGGCCTTCTTCTTGGCCCTGCGGAGCTTCCCGCTCAGGTCTTCAATTTCCTGTCTGGCCTGCAAGAATGCTTCTTGCAGGTTTCGCATCTGCTCTTCCAGCATGGCGAAAGCATCCTTCTTTTCTTTCAGCTGGTTAGCCAGCTTCTCATTTTTGCCATCGTAGATGGCAAACAAACAATCTATCGCAATGAAAATTGCAATAAGATTGCTCAATATGTCCGGGTGGGTCGCAGTCGCACAAGTGTATGCTCGTGACGGCTGCTAGCTCGGAACTGACATACTAACACCATTCAGTGGTAGTATGCTTTTTTATTTGTGTAATGTTTTTATACCTAATTTCAAATGGTACTATGATTTGCCTGTAAAATTATTGTATACAATTTCCAATGATACTGATTTGCAACAAAGGTCTTTCTACCTAATTTCCAATGACATTATGATTTCTGATTTGCCCGTCAAGCTTTTATACACAATTTCCAATAGAATAATTTGTATATAAAGTTATTATACACAATTTCCAATAATACTACGATACGGATAACAAGATGTCGAGCCAGCCGGTCGATCCGGCAAAACCTCCTGACAATAAATGCAAATTCTGTGCTAAATTTTGTTCGCTAAGTGAAGTTAAGTGTACTAATAGTGCATGTGATACTCTTCTACATGGAAAATGTTTCGATTCAATTGCCAAGATTGTGCCAATCAAAAAGGAAGAATTCCGTTGTAAACATTGTTTGGGAGACGGCAAGGTGTCTAGTAGCAGTACCGATGTGCTGCTCTTGCATAAAGAAATTGATTGCCTTACACGAGAAAAGCAATTGCTAGAAAAGTATGTGAGTGAACTAGAATTTTCTAATACTATTTTGAAATCTAAAATGCCTGCTGTTTCCTCTACACTGAATTCGGCTGTTGGTTTTTTCCGAACTCGTCGTTGGTAAACACATACTCGCAAGCAGCAAAAAAAGTCTCGCCATCAGCTGTGCTGGTTATTAAACCCACTGACATAAACATGGGGAACGCAAAATTGGAGCAGGAGCTGAAGTCTAAATTCAGGCCGAGTCAACTAAATGCGAATGTTATTGGTACTAGACTCATTAGGGATGGCGTGCTAGTCAACTGTGCTGATGTCAAGTCGCTTCAAAATTTGAAAGATGGTCTCAAGAGGCAAGCCGGAAATGCATTTAATGTTTATGAGTCGAAAAAACTTCGTCCGAAGATTGTAGTCTACAGTGTTGATAAATCAGCTGCCGAGGATGCCCGCCTTTCTGAAATTATCATCGCAGATAATGAATTAGATGCTACGGAAGCTGATATTCGTGTGGTTACTAATTTTAAATTTAAGGACGGTATCAATGTTGTCCTTGAAGTTACTCCCTCTATTTTTAAAAATGTTATGGGGAAAGGATTTTTATATATAGGTTGGAAAAGATGTAATGTAAAGGAGCATTTTAATGTTGCAAAATGTTTCAAGTGCTATAACTATGGGCATTATAAAAAAGATTGCAAGAGTTCAGCTACGATTTGTCCTCAATATTCAGGAAATCATGAAAAGCGCGACTGCATTTCTTCTGATCTCTGTTGTATTAACTATAAGACTTCCAACAATAAGTTTAAAACAAATTTTCCTACAGACCATTCAGCTAATAGCACTCAATGTTTGTGCTACCTTAACAAATTAGGACAACTTAAGGATAGAATTCAATATGAACAATAAAAACATAAAAATTGGCCACTTGAATTGCAGATCTATTTTCATTCATTTTGATTGTTTTGTTCATCTAGTTTTGGATTTTGACTTTGATGTTATGTGCGTTTCTGAAACTTGGTTGAACAGTGATATCTCTAGTGAAGCAGTTGGTATTCCAGGATTCTCTTTACTTAGAAATGATCGCTCTACCAGGGGTGGAGGAGTTGGGATCTATTTTAAAAACTCTATGGCTTGCAAGCAAATACTTCAAGTTTTTGATGGTTTTCTGAGAATTGAGCACATCTGGTTGTCTATAAAAACGCATGGTGAGGTATTGATAATTGGTGTAATTTATAGGCCCCCATCAGTAAGCAATAATGATTTTATGGATTATCTGGACAATGTCCTTTCCTTTATTACTTCACAGTTTGATCACATTATAGTTCTTGGAGATTTCAACGTCGATCAACCGTATGATAACGAAGTCAATCATTGCTTTATTTCATATGATTTCCATCAACTCATTACAGAGCCAACTAGAATAACTGCCTTATCACAAACGATAATTGACTTAATGTTTACCAGTGCAAATGAAAGAGTTGTAAACTCGGGTGTTATTGATAGTTTTGGCATATCTGATCACAAAGCAATCTACTGTGAGCTCTCACACCGAACATCGCGTCCTAAGCCGTTCATATTAAAATACAGAGATTACAGAAATATCTATAATATATAATAATCTAATAGTCGATCTTTTTGACAGATATGCCCCTGTTAGAACCTCTCGCATAACAAAACCTTTTGCTCCGTGAGTTACCCCTAACCTCAAAGCTATGATGAAAAAAAGGGATCAAGCTTTGCAAAAGTATAAAAAATCCGGTAAACTGTCGGACTTTGCTATATATAAAGAATTACGCAATTCTGTGTGCTCTGCTTTGAGACATGAAAAAGCTGTATTTTTGTCATCAACACTAAACTGTCGTAACTATAGGGATCTCTGGCAAGCAGTCAATCGCCTCAATATCAAAAGAAAACATAATACAGATATACCTCTACAGCTAAAAGAACCTTTTGAAATTAATAGTCATTTTCTTTCAGTCTTTAGTCCATCAAATAGCTGTCCTGAAGCTACTGCATTTTATAATTCAGCCAAATTTTCTAATATTTCTTTTTCTATTAATTTTGCTAATGTGGATGAAGTAAAAAAACTGGTTCTTGATCTAACGTCTAGCGCATATGGTGTGGACGAAATTAGTGCAAAAATGCTACAATACTGTATTTCTGTAACTGCCCCACATATAACTCATATTATAAATTGCTGCATACAGGTTGGTTATTATCCTAGTTTATGGAAATATGCTCTTATAAAAATTTGCCCAAAATAAGCATACCGTCTGTATATAATGACTTAAGACCAATTAGTATACTGCCTGCTCTGTCTAAAGTACTGGAGAAGGTGATCTATTTACAGTTATATGAATTTGTGATTTCTAACCAAATTATACCTGAATCACAGTCTGGATTCAGAAGGGGCTATAGCACAACTTCGCTCCTTTTAAATGTATCAGATGATATTATTAGATCTCTCGACGCTGGCCTTGCTACAGCTCTTGTATTTCTTGATTTTTCGAAGGCGTTTGATACCATTGATCACTGCTTACTTCTTGCAAAGTTACGATATTATGGTATAAATCTATTGGGCTGCCGACTTTTCAAATCTTACCTTCAGGGCCGTTACCAATGTGTTGTGGTTGATAATAGCTCGTATTCTGACTTCCAGCCTGTGACTTCTGGAGTCTCTCAAGGCTCCATATTAGGACCTTTGCTATTTATTATATATACGTCTGATATTTTTAAAACTATCACTTATTGCAAGATACAAGGTTATGCTGATGACACACAATTATACCTGTCATTCGATCCTAGATTTATAAATACCGCATCTGCTTATATTAATCAAGATTTAGAAAATGTTCAAAAATATTCATTTAATCACAACTTAAACCTCAATCCAGATAAATGTCAAGTTGTTATCTTCTCTCCGCCATGTTATGAAATTTTTATGCAGCATATCGACTTAACATTAAATGGAAAATCAGTCTCAGTAGTTAATAGTGCAAAGAATCTTGGTGTTATTTTCGACTGTAAGCTCAGATTTGAAGAGTACGTCTCACTATTAGTGAAAAAGACTTACCTAGTTTTAAGGCTACTGTATCGGTATTTTAAATTTTAAATTACGTAAAAAGCTCTCAGAGAGCCTAGTATTACCTATTTTAAATCATGCAATCACGCTTTATTATCCCTTCTTAACGTCTATTTTGAAATACAGACTTCAAAAGGTACAAAATCGCTGTTGTAGATTTGTTTTTAGGCTCAAAAAGTTTGATCGAATCTCAGCTAAAATAAATGACTTAAAATGGTTAAAACTGGAATATACTCATAAATATTATACTTCTATTTTAGTTCACCGTATTTTATCATCACAGAGCCCTGCTTACCTGAAAATAAAATTAGTCTTTAGGCGTGATTTGCATGATTTAAATACGAGGTTCACTAATAAACTTTCTCTTCCTAAGTTTCGTTTATCTTTATTTAGAAAATCTTTTTCATATAATGCTGTTACTATATACAATAGTATCGATGACGCGCTTAAGTTTAGTTCTGTACCGATGTTTAAAGTCCTGGTAAGGCAATTTTATTACAATAGTCAATGTAATGGATAGTTCAATAGTTTTTGATTATATACTCTTCGCTTTGCGGTTTTGTGTCTTAGGCTTTTGTTTATTTTCATTCAAATTATCTCATATTTTCTATGCTATTTTGTATTTGATCACTTCTGATGATTGCATTTTATGTATTATCTGTGGCTTTCTTCATTGTTAGCTTTTATTTAGGGTTAAGTAGAGTAGCTTAGGCTAGACTTCGCCCTGTTGCAGATTTCTGCATTGTATATAACAATACTCAATAAAGACATAATAATAATAATAATACGTCTGTAAAGTTTTGGCACACAATTTCCAATGATAGTATAATTTGACTCCCAATGACCCTACGATTTCTGATTTGCCTGTGAAGTTTCTTTCTAGAAGCTGTTATGTAACTTGATCTGTTTGATAGTATGTTTTTTCCAAACCATCCTACAAATAAGTAAGAGAGAGGACAATTTATAGCAGGACTTAATGAGTCTGGCAGATTTTAGTTAAACTACTCTTATCTGTACTTAACCTTTCTCAGTTGATACCAGTAATTCCACTCAATAGCTAATTTAGCACTCATTCGGGCGTGGAGGTGTGGAAAGTACATATAAACGCCATCTAATGCCTCATGTTTTGTTTTTCAGAAAATAGGTTTGGTATTTTACTCTATTTGGTCATAGGAAAAATGGAAATAAACTCTCTTTTATCCCTCTAGCTATTTCGCTCAACCCTGCATCCGCTCAATATGGACCCTACACCTTCCTTCGTGATAACATTTGCCTGCCGATCACGAAACTTTAAATTACATCCCAGCCTTAATGGATTTCAGATAGGCCTCCTCAATATAGGCAAAGTCATTAAAAATGTAAAACCTTTCAGAGTCTGCATACCGATCCCACAAATGAGGAAGGCTCTGATCCTTGCCACGTCCAAACTTTGCAGGCGTAAAACTATTAGGGCGTTCGCGATTAAAAGTACTGGAATACAACGGAAAATGAAATGGCGTTAACTAAATGCTGTCGTAGTTTTAATCTTACACTCGAGGAAGTTTTGTAATCAGGAAAAATTTCAAAAATGTGATATGTTTTTGGGAGGTTTTATGACATGTACGTTGCGGCAAGTGGTGGGGTATGGGCGCGGGGCGAAGTTAGTCATAGCAACGGTGATGTCGGTAGGGCAGAGAAAGATTTTCTGTGGACTAAAATTGTATGGGCCTGAATGACTGGCGTGATCCGCTTGATGTCTTTCTTATACATGTTCATAGATACCTTTTACTTACTATGCTTTTTTTTTTTTGGTGAGGGGGGAATGCATTTACGCACCATACCATAGCCCGAGCTACGGCGTGTGTGGGACTCCAGGGTCTTGAGGAGATCACCTAATATCCACTAAACCCTAAACCTCCGCGTGGCCCGAAACATCAGCGTCTCGGTAGGCCATGTGTTGTGCGTGACCTGCGGTCTGCTACAACGTCTCCTCATGTGTTTCAGTCTCTGGGAACGCCGGGTTGGTTCCCTTTACCTCGCACATTCTATCGATGTCGTTAAGCGATCATCGATAGAGGGTCTGCTAGGTTCTCTTCAAACTCTTGTTTTCGAAAAATCAAGAGTTTCAAGTCCTCTTACCAATATGTTGCTCCTGGTCCTGGTCCTGAAGGGTCCTGGTCCTGGTGGGTCCTGGTCGTGGCGGGTCCTGGTCCTGGTTGGTCCTGGTCCCGGTGGGTCCTGGTCCCGGTGGTTCCTGGTCCTCTGCATCCACGCCGTGGGGGGGGGGGAGCAACCGCGGGTTCTCCTAGTCTCCTAGTCAAGGTTCCAGTTAGCGGGTGCCAACTGGGACCTTGGTCTAGGGTACCTGGTTCTGCGGTTGCGAGGCCTCTCGTCCGGATCGTAGTCCATGAGGAATCGTAGCTGCTCGTTCGGGTGGTCCTGAGCTTTCTCGAAGGTCTTTTCCTCATGTACTCGTGGATGGTGTCCCAATGCAGGTCTCTACGCAAGGTTGAGTTTCTTACGTAGGATGGTGCACTGGTGGCGATCCGGAGTAGCTTCATCTCTAGAGCAGCAAGTCGCTTGCGGTAGCTGGGGGCAGCGTACCCCCAGACCGCGGAGGCGTAAGCGAGCTGAGGTCTGGCGATGGCCTTGATCAGCCGTAGCTTGGTCGCTAGCGGCATCCGGCTGTGTCTACCCAGTAATGGGTAGAGTTGATCCATGGCTGCTCTGGTCTTTGCGATGACAGCTTCTATGTGGGCTTTCCAGGTGAGGGACTTGTCAAATACGATCCCCAGATATTTGACTTTGTCGCTCCACTGGATATCTTCGTCGAAGATGGATGCTT